CTCCCACCCTGTAATTTCAGTTGCTGTTTTGTTGAATCCAAAATGCCATTGTATATCGGATTGAGATGTTTTCAAGGAGCTTGAACTTCAAACTGTTCTTTAAATCCATGTAGAGGTCTTTGGTAAAATTTAATTCATCTATGACTGTAGCATACATGATACTGCTTTCTTGGATGTTTGGAGCAAACTTTAAGTTTAAAAAATAAGGCATTTTATAGGGGAAAAAAAAAAGAAGTTAAGAAACGTAATAGAAGAAGTGAAGAACCATTAAACGTTAATTAAAACAAAATCTTATAATTATAAGCCATGTTATATTATAAATTTTTATGTAATTGATTTTTTTAAGTTAAAAATTTATTTATAATATTATATATATATTTATTTTATAATACGTTATTATTGTAAATTTATAATTTTACGTAATATTATAATTATAATATTAATGAATTAAAAATAACATTACAATTTGCAAATAATAAATAACAGCAACATTCCAAATTTTTTTTTTTCAAAATTTCAAATACTAAGCAGATGCAACATTGAAATTTATTAATCTATATAAAAAAGAAAAATAATGCAATTAATATATATGGTGTTTGCATTTAGGAAATTATTATTTCCTTCCCAGCTTGGATGCCTGGAAAGGCCCAAAATGCTTCATTTGCCAAAGTAACCCAATTGAGAAACAGCCCAAAAAGTAGGCCCAAACACAATGGAGGCCCACGAAAGATAGCTAGCTATTTGTTAGGGTTTCCCATATACATAATTTCCTCTGGCTGCTCCCCTCTCCATTGTTGTTTTGATGCAGATGATAATAGAAGGAGATGACTGTATTCCTTTTCCATCTTCTGGTTATATCTGGGTTTTGCTGGAGGTTTGAATTTTTATTTTCATGTTGTAGTTTTCAAAATTTGAGTTGGTAAGGAGTAGAGCCGCCGATGATGAGAGAAGAGAGGCATGAGCTGCAACAACAAATTTTTATGCGCACCGTGTTTTGTAGTACACGGGTTGTTGTTGCGATGAAGAATGTGCCAATATGCTAATCTGAGAGGCTCTCTCACTTCCTAAACTTAACTTCTCCTTTTTAACATTTTTTATTTTTTTGGGTGTTTTCTCTTTTAGCTAGCCCTCCCTGTGAGCACCCTTTTGTTTTGTTATTTTCCAGGGAAAAATGATCCTGACTTGTGCTTATAGATGCCCATGATTATATATATATATATATATGTTTTTTTAGGCTTGGTATGGAGAGTTTTACAAAGCTCCTTCTTCTCCCATGTTTGTTTTCCTTGAGATTGGTTTATCAATTAATGTTTGTAAGCTTGAAACCCAGAAGCAAACCTAAAGTAAAACGAATAATTTATGTTGCTTGTGGATATCTGTTTTCCAATTGATGTATTAATTGGGGTTTTTGAGATGGAGGTGAATCATAA